TTTCAAGGCAAGATCGTGTGATAACGGAATTAAAGCATGTGTTATCGGGTGATTCCAATAACACTAATGGAAGGGATTTGGTTCTTCCCAGCATTCCCGCAAATCAGACGGCTCAACGAATCGATAACAACACTCCAAGGGAAAAAGTTGGTTTCGAAGAAGCCGAAGGGACCTAAAATAGATGTGGGAACAACAACTTGAATGATCTTTTCCAAATCGAGCTCATGGTATTCATGAGAGAAATGAATGAATGAATGAATGAATGAATGAATGAAGGGACCAGAACGTGAAGGAGCTTCATGCTTAGATGGATCAGATCCCAGGCGTGTCGCCTGTGTTAAAAGGACCAGATTTGAGGAAGTATATACAATTGCCATTTAAACCAAGCGCGGCATTAGAGCTAATCCCAAAGAGGTTCAAGATGCCAAATATTTCGAAGTATGACGGGACTTTGGACCTGTAGGAGCACATGACAACCTACATATTGGCAGTAAAAAGAAATAACTTGGCTCAGCATGAGATCGAGTCAATTTTGTTGAAAAAGTTTGGTGAAACCCTCACGAAGGTGCCCTAACATGGTATTATCTCTTACCTTAGCATGCGATCGATTCTTTTAAAATTGCTTGCAAATTCGTTTATCAAAACTCATGCTGGAGCAAGAAATGTCCAAGCTAGAAAGACAGATATATTCAGAATTTTGCAAGGAGAATTCGAGTTGCTTCAAGAATTCGTGATCCGGTTCCAGAAAGAAAGTATGATGTTACCAACTGAGCGCTTGCTTAAATTTTAGGCAACCACATGGGCAGATGTCCACAGTTTCTACGAGTCAAAAATAAGGATAGAAGATGATCCACTTGGCTCTTCGGTGCCTTCCAAGAGACGGAGTCGCAATAGAAATAAAGATAAGTTTAAAAACCGACTTTAATGCAGATCAGAGGTCCTCTAGGATTCGTTTTCTACCTTATGAGAGGACCAATGGGTGTAGTAGCAAAAGATCCTTTCATTGGATAGGTTCACTTTTGATAGAAGGACGGATCGTGGTCAGAATAACAAATTGTTACAAAAGAAAAAGGTGCTAGGGTCCCGAGATCCCGCATATCCTACGTTATCAGATTACAACTTTAATATCAACCTAGTAAAATTGGTGTCGGCAATAAAGAATATTAAAGAAGCTCGGTTCCCAAAACTAATCCGATCGGATCCCAACCAGAGGCTTCCTAATCTGTGGCATGAATTCCATGGGACTTACGGCTATAGGACTAGGGACTGCCGACATTTTTTGTGAAGAGGTAGCGACGTTGTTGAAAAATGGTCACCTTAGAGTTTCTAAACGGCTGTGCCAAGAACAACTATGGTAGAAATTAGGATAATGCAGAGCCCTCAAAGTCGGCAGCAGGGTCACCTCGAATGACAATCAACATGATCTTTAGAGGGGACATAGTCAATGGGGTGATATTTTCAGCAGCAAAGAAGATGAATATATCAGTGACTCATGGCAAAAGGATCTGGGAAGTCTCGAAAGATGATATCACCTTCATAGAAGAAGATGTTGATGGACTTCTTCTACCGCACAATGACGCGCCAGTAATTTCACTTAATGTTTTAGATTTCAAAATTAACTGTGTTTTGGTTTATCCAGGGAGTTCGGCGAACATCATACAATGGAGAGTTTTGGAGCAAGCGAAGTTAACCTAGAACATCATTCCGATGACAAAACTCCAGGCTGGCTTCAACTGATCAAGTGTGACTATCCGAGGAGAAATTTTACTACCCACACATACCAAAAGAGTAACAAAGAGCACCATGTTCGAAGTGGTAGATGGTGACATGAGCTATAATATGATCCTCGGAAGGCTGTGGATACATGACAACAAGTTTGTGCCCTCTACCTATCACCAACTATTGAAGTTTTTGACACCTGAAGGGATCAAACAGATAAGAGGAGACCAACCAGCGACAAGGGAGATGAACTCTGTAACCATTTCCAGCAGCAGGGATAGAGAAACCAACAAATAGCAATTACATGAATCGATGTTTTCTCCCATCCCAATCGAAGATGATAAAAATGAGGAATCATCATAATTATATCAGGTACCGAGGAGACTGATGCTACCAAATCCACCGCAGAAGAGCTCGAACAAGTAGCTTTGTTTGAATAATTTTTGGAAAGGAAATTCCATTTAGGAACGAGGTTGAGTCTCGAACTCAGGTTAAAACTTATAGATTTTCTTAAATCGAATGTTGATTACTTTGCGTGATCTCATTCAGATATGAAAGGTATTCCCTTGGAGGTGGCGATCCACAAACTGAGTTTGGGTCCAAACTTCCCACCAATAAGGCAAAAAAAATACCTGTTAGCAGAGGTCGGAAACAAGTTTGTTAAGAAAGAGGTAACCCGATTACTTAACATCGGTTCAATTTGAGAGTTAAAGTACCAAAAGGGGCTAACTAACATAGTAGTAGTGCCTAAGAAGACAACAAATTTAGGATGTGTGTAGACTATAAGAAATTAAAGTGAGCTCCAAAGACTCATTTCCGTTACCAAACCTCGATCAAATGATTAATGTTGTTGCCGAGCATGAGTTAATGAGTTTTTTATGCTTATTTTGTTACGCCCCACAGTATTACGTCGATGTTACACTCCGCAATATTATATTACAATGATGTCACGCTCTACAGTATTATATTATGATGATGTTAGGCTCTACAATATTATATTACGACGATGTTACACCCTGTAGTATTGTACGTTAAATTTATCGTAAGATAATTAATATCAGTTCAATGACAAAATTATTTGGAGATTATAAATATTACGCTATTTCAAACAAGTGATAAGTAAATTCGTGAAGGTGAGAGGGTAAGCGAGCAAAAGTGAGTTCCGTCAAAGTTTGACAATTAGGGGATAAAATACGGTGCAAGCTATAGTACCCGTATTTATGGACTGGTGTCATACAAGGTACCACATGACCATAATAATAAGATATATAAAATATGTTAAAAGTGAGTAGTATTTTAGGTAAGTTGATATAATTCTTAATTATGTAGGAAATTGGTTAATTATTGAGTAATGGGAGATTACCTAATTAATTAAGGGATTATTGGGTGATTAATTAAAGAATTTGGATAAAATTAAACCCCCCCTTCACGTGGCAGCAAACCACCCCAAGATTCATGTCTCTTAAGTCATTAGGAAAATGTGGCAAACAAATGGGTTTTGTGGTTAAGCCACCACATAAAGTGGGCCCCACATCCATTCTAATATAAGACATCTCTAACTTAAAAAAAAGAGATGCATATAACACACGTAAGTAACGTGAGACTTTTCATAGCATCTTCAACAAATTCAACAAGATTTCATAGCATCTTAAGCAACGTGAGATTTTGCAATTATAAGGGAGTACAGTGCAATCTTTCTCAAGAATATCGTACGGATATTTCCCTACTCCAATATTGCCGTCACATATTTTGTCGCAATTAACGTGTGTTAGAGGAATTTTCAAGAGAATCTGTTAAGGTATGTTAAGGCTATCCCTTCTTTCTTTTTGGCATGATCCAAATGCTACAAACGAAATGAGCAAACACACAACATTCATAAATGACTCTATTCATAGAAGTATTAGAGGTACCTATATTCTTGAATTACCATGTGTCTTATTATTACATCTTTTGTTCATAGGTATTAGAAAAATACGTAAGTTGGAAAAAGTTTACTTCATGATATTACTCAAAGGCATAATGGTCTTATGACATTGTGGATTTTATTGACGTACTTCTCATGCATTGCATTCATTTATACATGTACATTGACCCATGACCGGATGACTTTATATACGTGTATATAACGTCATCCGGTCATGGGTGAATGTACATACATATATATGTGTGTGTGTGTGTATGTGTGTGTATAGGATATGGAAAAAGATTACGGTGTTATATATGCACCACCACCTGATCAGCTGGTATACGTTGATGATTTTGCCCATAGTGGCTGAGATGATATGATGAGATTACCTCAGAGGCTTGATGATATTATGAACACATGTACCTATGCACGACATGACATGCATATGCATATGCATGACACTATAAGTATTTCATGATTTACAGAGTTATCCAGACTTACGGGTTAAGTCATTTACTCCATGTTTCTTCCATATCTTTTATATACTTATTTATGTGCCTTACGTACTCGGTACATTATTTGTACTGACGTGCTTTTGTTGGGGACACTGCGTTCATGCTGCAGGTATAGACAATCAGTTTGACGAGCCCTCATAGTATACAAGGTTAGCATTCAGCGAAGGATCAGTAAGACTCCATCTCATTCGAAGTGCAGTCGAGTCTATGAGTCATCGTGTCAGAATTTTGTTACAGACTTATGGGTAGGTCGGTACCCTGTCCCATTTGATGTCAAATACTGTTAGAGGTTTTGTAGATAGAGGTTTATTTTGTACAGTATGTTAGAAGCCTTGACGGTCCATATGTATTCATGTTTTAAGAAAGATGGTACATTGATATAATGTTTTTCCACTTATAGTTATACATTACAAGTTGTGGCCATATTGGCCCAGTTACCAATGATAGTACGATAAGAAAGATATGTTACGTTGGTACTCGGTTGAGTAAGCCACCTGGTGCCCTTCGTGACCCTTCGATTTGGGTCGTGACATATTCCGGGTATAATCAAATTAGGATGAACTCAGAAGATCAAGAGAAAACCTCTTTCATCACAAACTTTGGCACATATTGCTATAATGTGATGCCTTTTGCACTTAAAAATGCCAGAGCCACTTATAAGAGGCTCGTTAATAAGATATTTAAAAAGCAGATAGGTAAGATGATGGAATTCTATATTTATAACATGTTAGTTAAGTCTCTTAATGCAAAAGATCATCTGGAGCATCTCCAAGAGATATTTGACATTATAAGAAACACTACAAGAAAATGACTTATTAGCGACCAACTTTTAGAGTTAAAATTCCGTCCCTAAAAGTACGCCTATTGCGTCGAGATTTTCTTCTGGTCCCTAATCCTCATTTTTGGTTTCTAAACTAACGAAGGGTGCAACACCAGGTCGCTGAAAGGACAAAGATCTGGTCCTATTAAACCTCCCCCAAGTCCCTTCGATACATCCATAAAAAATTAGACCAGCCCTCCCCCCTCCTCCTCCCCTTCTAATTTTCCCCAAACTGAAACCCTAACAAATCGCTATTCCATATTTTTCTCCAGGAATTTCTCACGACGTGTCTACGGTCTATCTGAAGTGACTGAAGACTCACAAACCGGCGATAACAAGATTTGTCTATATGAACAGGTTTGTCTTATCTTTCTTTCTTTCTCTTATTTCTAGGTTTAAAACCGAAAACTTTCTTATTGAGTATGACGATCTTCGGTGCCGATTCTACTGAATACTGATGATGGATAGGGTTTCGTTCAAATCTGGGGCTTGGTGGGCAAGGAGGGTGAGGAATAAAAATATCTCCCCTTACTTGTTATGTTCGTGAGATTAAAAAAATGTAGGTAACAAAGGTGTTTCTCTTCTGAAATGTCATTTTGAATGCAAGTGTGTGAACATTTGTATTCTAAGTGTTGTGAGAAAAAATATTAAATGTTGATAGAATTATCTCTTATATAGTAAAAAAGATCTTAGTCTTTATGAACACAAAGGTAAAAGGAATAAAAACCTTTAGCCAAAATTATCTAATTTCTTTTGATGTTTCCAAAGCAATAAACTAGTTCATGTGCAATTTTTTCCACCGAAATTTCCCAAATTTTACTTTAAGCTGCAAAGCATGAGACAACATAGCAGAGGAAGTAAGAGAAACCAAAAATCACTACATATGAACTACCACATTGATATAAAAAAGCCCATTAATATTCTAGGAACTTGTTTAGAGGACTAAGGCAATATGGGATTGGGTTGTGACTATGGCTTTTATTATAAGGTGAATTGGTTCAACTCCTTATCAAAAAGGGTGAATTGATAGAATTTTGTTGACCCATTAAGTGTTCTTATTCAGTTATTCATTGTAAATATTTATATCTTTTTCTTTAGAACTGTGTAAGCACTATAGTGATGATAATGCTGATTGAATGGGGTAATTCTAATGTTGTATATAAAACAGTTATCTGATAGCTTATATATACTATTCACTTCTTAAAAGTTGAACCACTGCTAAGCAAGTAAAAAGGGCTTTAACTACCTATGGTGTGTTGTGTTAGGAAAGAAAAGTACTCCCTGCTAACCTATAGATAGGTAATCTTGAGGTGTTTACTTGGTTCAACGTTAAATTGGTATTGATGTACACATTTGAAGATTCGTGTATTTCCTTAATGTATGTTTTCTTTAAGCAATGTAGTTAGCTTAGCAGATCTTGTAGCTAGAGCTTCCTAAATAATCGATAGAAACAAGAAATTTAGAAAACCTAAATAGTTGATGACTGTGGTCTTTTGATAGAAATGAGGCAGCTTATCCTAAGCATCTTTTCTGCAAGCTCAAGCTTAGGTGCAGGTGTATCATGTGAGAGTTTCACAATTGAGGTGAATGTGAAGGATTTCGTATTTGAACCCAGAGACAACAGATAGATCTGTAAGCTTCAACTTTTTTTTTTGTTTCAAATGTTTTATGTTCCCAGGTTCTAATGTTGCTCTATGAGCACCAAAATCCTTCAGTCCGGTGAGAGTTCAATAATATTTAGCATGTTTTGATTTCATAATTTCGTTGATCTTTTTCAAATAAATGCAGTTTTTAAGGAACATCTTCTGTTGGAGTTCTTAGGTTAAGAATGATGTTAGAAATATACAACAATTATTGTATTTGAATAGAGACATATGTGGGAAATGATTGGTGGACTTTTGAGAAAGGCAATAACATTGATGGTTTCAGTTTCATCCTATCTAATGTCCTTTATCTTGAGCTATCATTTATGCAATTTGATTGATATCTAGCTTTCAGATGTTGAAAAGGATGTAGTTAGAGTATATATGAAATTTTGTTGCTTTGAAGGAGAGGGAAATATGCATTATGCGAGTGGAAAAATTGTTATTTGTCATGACTTGAATGATATTAAAGTTTGTGAACAAGCTTTATACCTCAATTATATTAATGAATAGTTGGAAAGTGAAGTCCTTGAGTTGTGCTAGAAAAGAAACATGTTTGTCTATTTGAGCTACTATGCAATTGTGTACAATAACTTGATTTTCATGTACATGATTCTCTATATGTAAAGAAATTACTTCCTTTAATGTTAGAACATGCTTCGTTGAAAGATAGTAAACTATGTGGTTAATTCTCTGGAGAAATGGACAATTTTGACATTGGTGATACTTGTATGGTATTATGATGTCCTAAAGATGCTCTAGTTGGAGTTCTGATCCAAATATTCTCTTTTCATGCTTATAGGAATTAGCTGAACTATTAGAACTCACTGCTACCTTATTTCATTTTAGTATATACAGCAGAGTATCCCATCCAAATGCACAATTACTGAAAATGTTTTGTGTATAGTAAAAATTGTTTTATTTGGATTTATTTTCTGGTTGTATAGGCTAATATGTGGTGTTAATATGTGCAGGCACAAGATAAAGGTCCAAATATATCCAAACAGCAAGACGTTGAACACAAAAAACGAAAGCTTGCTACCCTAATGGAGATATGAAAAATACCTACAGCAATAATTTACTTCGAATAACAAAGTCCACATCAAGATGCTACACCAGCAAGAATTTTGAAATTTATTAGTCAGAATATTTAGATGGTTGTAGTATGTAAAATGTAAATGCTAAGAAACATGTAGGAGGTAAGGTATATGTCCCCCTCCTTGTATTGGACATGTTATTGAAATCTGTATCAAGGTCTTAGTGATTTAACTTTGATGTGTGTGTGTGTGTGTGTGTGTATATATATATATATATATATATATATATATATAAGCTTGATGTTGTTGATAATTATGTTGTATTGATCTGATTATCTTTGTTACAAATTGTATAATATTATGGTGATAAATTGTATATGAGAGGCTCTGCAATCAGGTTTTTGGTCCTTAAAAACTTTATAGGACCAGTAGAAGCTGGTCGCTAAAAATATATAAGCACCATAGGGATCTTTGTCTAGGACCAGAAATGTGGTCTATAAAAGTATTTTTAGGACCAGAAGTGTGCTGGTCGTAAAAACTCTTTAAGGACCAGCTACTCAACTCGTCGTTATTGACTTTTAGCGGCGGAGTCTATAGCGACCAGTGGCGGCGACCAGAATTAAAATATTAGGGACCAATTTTGTCGTCCATAAAGACAATTTTTCCTGTAGTGAAAGTACAACATGAGGCTCAACCCATAGAAGTGTGCTTTTTTGGGTTGGCTCCGATAAATTCTTGGGGTTTCTGGTCTCAAAAAAAGGGATTGAAGTAAACCCCGAAAAAATTAAAGCCATTGAGGATATCCTAGACCCGCTAACAAGTGTGAATGAACTACCAAGGTTGACCAGTAGGTTGGAAGCTCTGAGCTGTCACGATCCAAAATCCAACTAGTCGTGATGGCACCTAACCTCACCCGCTAGGCAAGCCAAGTTACAAATATACGATTCAAATAACATTTAACTGACTCTAATACACTCCCCAAGGACTGGTTGTACAAATCATGAGCTTCTAAGATAAGAATTTACAAAGCTAGTGTGAAATAAAAATTCTTTATCTGTTTGAAATATACATGAACAGATTAAATATTCTAAAGCTACCATGAACAAGAGGCAGCTGAGTCTGGATCGCTGGTACACCTTCAATGCTAGCTTCCTCCATGCACAGCAACGACGACAACCGCGATCTACACGCAATGTGCAGAAGTGTAATATGAGTACAACCGACCACATGTACTCAATAAGTTACAAACCTAACCTTAGTTTGAAAGTAGTGACGAGCTTATACCAAGGTCATAATCCACACCAAAAACCAATAACACCTCATAACAATATAATTTAAAGCAGTACAAGTAATAACTCAATAATAAAATGTTCAGCTCGTTTACATTTCTAGAAAGATAATCATTTTCTTTTCAAGTATAATAGTAAAACTCAATTCCTTTCACTGAAATCACTAAAATATGAGTAAGTCTGAAAACTGTGAATTTTTCCCAAACTTTCTTCAACAATAAAAAAATTTATTTTCGAATGGCATGAGGAAAGTGCATCTCTATGCCTACATGTCAATGAGTATGTGAAGTCATGAATGACGCAATATCGTACAATATGAGAAAAACGCATCTATATGCCTGTGTGTCAAGTGTGCATGTCAATGCGATGAAACTCAGAGATAAAACCATATGCATACTCTCAGAGTATCATTTTACTCAATCCTCCCAGTTACTCAGTCCTCACAGTCACTCAGTCCTCACAGTCACTCAATCTTGACAATCACTCGGTACTCGCACTCAGTAGGTATCTGCGCTCACTAGGGGTGTGTACAGCCTCTGGAGGGGATCCTTCAGCCCAAGCGCTATAACAAGCCAATCATGTCATAAATCAATGAAATATGGTGCGGCGTGCAACCCGATCCCATATATATCCTCACAATCAGGCTCTCGGCTTCACTCAGTCATCAATCTCTCCAGTCTCTCGGGCTCACAATGCCATGAAACTAGCTCGAACATAATGATGTGATGTATCAATAAATAAAAATAGAGACTGAGATATGATATGAAATGAATGAATATGACTGAGTATGAAATTACAATTTAAACAAATAATTCAACAACAACGTGACCTCTGGGTCTTTATATTATCGGCATATAGCCTCAACATGACTTTTAGCACGATTGACAGCTCAATTACTTTAACACATAATGAAAATACAGATATCAACAAAATAGGACCACTATACAGTGCCATGGAAACAACAGAGTCACAATTCACAGGGTGCACGCCCACATGCCCGTCACCTAGCATGTGCGTCACCTCAATACCAATAACATAACACGTAATTCGAGGTTTCATACACTCAACACTAAGTTTAGAAGAGTTACTTATCTCAAATAAGTCGAATCCAATGTCGAGCAAGCTAAACAATGCTCCAAAAATTTCATTCTGTGCGTATCGACTTCTGAACAACTCGAATCCCGATGAATTTCTTGAAAATTCCATGAAAAATTGCCAAAAATCGAGCTCTCTAGGTCCAAAAATAAAATAATACCATAACCCTCAGTTAAATAGAGCTTCTCTGAACTCCCAATGCGCTGACACCGGAATTTTGGCCGCTGGGGCAAAATTTTTCTGCTGTCCACGGTTCTGAGCCTCTTCCCTCTAGGCTTCAGAATTTTGACCATAATTTTCTCTATAGATGTTGAAATATGTATTATAATATGTTTCTGGTAACTAGATTCAAAGAGCTACAACTTTCGTTTTTGAATCATCTTAAATTTCATTGTGGATCAAAAGATATAGGCTTCCGAAGTCGGACCAACGACCTGCAGATTCTTCAAAACTGCGGTCGCGGATAGAATTCCGCTGACAGCAAAATTTCTGGCACTGTAGCGGAATGTTGGCTGCTAGGGAGAAGTTTTTCCGCGGTCTGCGCTTCTCCCATGGTTCGGAATGACTTTCGAGGGCCGAAATGTCCGAACTCGCTCAAAACTCAGTCGAGGCCCCCGAGACGTCAACCAAATGTACCATCAAGTTATAAAACACCATACAAACTAAGTTGAATCTACGAATCACTCATAACAACACCAAACATCGAATAAATTCTCAAATTCAATCCTAAGAACTCCAAACTCATAAATTCCACAAATGACTCCGAAACCAATCAAACCTCGTCCGAATGTTCTCAAATTTTGCACACAAGTCATAAATGACATAATGGAGCTATTCCAATTTCTTGAATCGGATTTTGATCCCAATATCAAAAAGTCAACCCCTCGGTCAAACTTCCAAACTTAAATTTTTGAGCACGCTCCTAAGTCCAAAATCACCATACGGAGCTATTGGAATCATCAAAAATCCATTCCGGGGTGTTTACACATATTTCATCTTCCTGTCTATTTATTCAACTTAAGCTTTAAATTTTAATTTCATTCTTCCAATTGATTTCAAAATACCTAAAAACCAAATCCGACAATCCACACATGTCATAATACATCATAGGAATATATTTAAGACTTAAAATAGTTGAAAGGAGTGTAAGTGTCCGAAACAACCGGTTGGATCGTTACATTCTCCCCCACTTAAACATACATTCGTCCTCGAACGTGCTAAGAGTTATTTCTAAGCCTTTAAATCACTGATCCACCTCACCACGAACATACCTGGGGTGATCCCTCGTCACCCTATTCCGTATAGGCCTGAAGGCACCACTTAATAGAAATTATTAATTTAGCATTAGCCCATGAACCTTGGAATCCAATTCCCAACATACAAATTTCTTTTCAAGACCCGAATTTTCACTTATACTTACTACATGTGCGTTAACAAGTGGTATTAAACCTTAGCCATAACTCCAGATGCAATCATATATTATACCACATAACCCGCATACTCGCAATAGTTTCTAATCAATGTAGCTGCTTAAACAAACCCGACAGTGGTATTAAACCCCATATTAACAACATCTCATTAAAAGCCTTCGTACACTGCCCAACAAAAGAAACACACGGAATTACCTAACCACCAAACAGATCAACAACTCATGGAGTTCTTTTGTTTCAATCAGAACCATAATTATTTTTTAGGTTGACATTCGATATTATCCCCCAAATATATCATAATCAAATCCGATAGTACACGTTCTAAGTCAGACGACCTTATATTATCAAACACTACTATTCCACCTACATGCCACACCAATAGAACTCAATATTGCACCATCTAGGTACCCCGAAAGGGGAAAATACCTCAAAGAAGAGAGTCGTTTTGCAAGTTCAACAAGCACCACCACAGATCGAAATACTATGAGCTCATCATTTGTAGTGGAACCAAGACACACGAATCGAATAACAATAAATAGCTCTTCTAGGGCTCTCATTAACATCAACCGCAAGAGCAACTCAGTTGCCAATAACATAATCCACCTGGCATGGTCACGGACCTCCAGTCCAAGCACATCATATAGGAGCAATCCAATAACTACACCCGTATAGGCTAAATAGAATAAGATTCTCATGCTCCTGAACTGGCATAAATAACACATTATATTGTAGGCGTGAATAAATTGTGCTATCACAACTCATTCGCCAATTTAACACAAAATTAAAAACTACCAAGTTTGTTCTGGGAATTAGCCTTTTTGTAATCTCAAGTATAGTCCAGATAGTTCTCAACAAGGTTACGAATACGAGAAACATTATACCTTTACGCTCAATAGTCCACTCTAGGCATATTATAGCCTAAGCATCTTCTCGAGCATGAATAATTACCCCGATGCTCGCACATTGGTTCAAACCTCACATATATACGCACTCACGACGTGTAGTTATCACAATCAATTAGTGCAACTAGTGCCTCCACTGATTTTAAATAAAATACTTACCTCAAACTTGGCACAATCCCAAAATAGTATACTTTGAGAACTATCAGTTTTCAAATTCATAGATCACATAAATCGTCATAACGGATCACAATCTCAAAACTCAGATGACTAACACATCCCTCAAGTACAAGCATCCCACGATAAATATTTTCATAATTCTTCCGTGCTACATAACAAAATCTGAATATTATTAGTTGATCAACCAAATAAGTGCCGTAATATCAATGAACAATCGTTAGTCAAACATAATGTGCCTTTTTAAATGCGCGCCCTTCTCAGGGATTACCGAGTAGTTATAACATCCATCTAAATATCTAAAACTAACTATTCTATCCAAAATTTGTGACCTTCCCTTCAAGAATG